ATTTCCTTAACACCAGCCCGAGAGTGTGCCCGCTTACACTGGGCCAGGGACTTGCCCAAACTGAGGCTTCCCCCCCCTCCCGGCCCCACAGCGGGACAGCGAGAGCGGTGCGAGCACAGCCGTGCCAGTTCCACTATGCGGGGACTTTGCGAGGGGGAAACAAATCGGCCCCAAGGGTGGGCAGAAAATGCACGGACCCTGCAGCTCCTCTCATCTCGGCGCCGCTGAGTCGCCCTGAGAGTTGATTTGCAAACGAAAATCCCCAGGTGAAATCGGGGAGCTGGGCACCGCGCTGCCCTCCCGCCCGAGAGGGTTTGGTCCTCTCATCCCACTTCTGGTCCCGTTTCTGGGCCCGCGGGTTTCGTCCCTGATCGGCCCCGTTCAGATCCCGGCTCAGCGGCCGAAGACCGCCCAGGGAACGGCGATTTCTCCATCTTTCTCTGTCGGGGAAAGTTCGGAGCTTCACGGGGCCAGTGTGCTCCAGCCGAGCCGGGTCGGGCCGGGCCGGGCGCGCTGCCCCTGACCCTGGCTCCGAGGCCGGATGCGAGCGCTCGGGTCACATTTATTTTTAGTGCAGAGAAGTTTCTTCCCCTGCAGGGAGGCGGTTGCGAGCATCGCTGTACAACGAGCTCCAGAAATGGGCTGTGCTGGGGAGCTTCTCCCCAAGCCCACAGCGCTCTTTAGTACCCCGGCGCCCCCTCCCCATCACAGCTAGGAGCCGACGGGCGCCCAACTCGGGACAGTTGTTTTCCAAAGACAGCAGTTCCCTGTGGCGGCGGGATCAGGGGATACCTGTAGGTACCTGTTACCGCCTGTTTTTCAAGAGTGGACTGGGACAGGGACCACAGACCCCACCGTGGCTCTCCGTCCTCCGTCCGTCATCGCCGGTCCAATCGAGGTCTTTCCGCCCCTTGGCAATACCAGCCCCAAACTTGAAGGGGTGCTTGAAGACTAAAACTGTTCTTAGATTCCCAGCTCGCTCTCCCGGCCTTTGAGAGATGCTGTGCCAAGACTCGCTAACAGCTCGAGGGCACGGAGTTTTGCTCCTCTCCACGTTGCTAATAGGGAGTGGTAACGTGTTTAGACCACTTAGACTAGGCAGACATAGCTGGGAGCCATGCACGGCTCAGCTATGCCGGGAAAGGAGGTGTCATTTGTACGCAGTTACTTTGGTGATCAACACTTGAATGATATATGCCTCCTGCTTTAATTATATTCCTGTGACATTTTCCTGGACAGGAGCGGACCGCACACAGCCAGAGCCGGGCAGCCCCGGGAGCGTCCTGCTGCTGCCCGCCGGGCCCTGGACTGTTCCGGGGAGGGCAGCCACGCCGACACCCCGAAATACGGTTCTGGAGACGGCAAGGGGAGAGGCTTCCAAAGATGTTACTCATAGCCAGCCAGACCTTTTTTTTTTTTTTTTTTTTTTGCATATGTCCCCACTCACGAGTAGTTTTGGATTCAGCGGCAGGTTTCTCCTCTCTGAGGAGGAAACGCCGCAGCTTTACTCGCTTTTCTTCCACGGTGGAAGACAGAGACCCGGAGAGACACTTCCCCGAAGGCTTCAGTGGAAGCCCTCATCCATCCCTGTGGACATCCAAAGGGCCGCCGTACCCCCCCAGCCCTGCTTCCACCCGCCTCTCGGCCGGGGACCCGACTCAAAACTTCTGCCCTCACCAGGAGTAGGTCAATTCCAGGTCCCACTCCGAGGGGCTGTAGCAGGCAGAAGCGGGAGGTGGGGGGGGGGGGCGTGTTGGAGAGCATTGGACGACGGTATTCTTCCCCAAACGATCTGAAAGCTGGGACACACGACCAGCAGCTGCGTCCCGGCGGGACGGGCAGAAGAGCCCGGCGGGATGCGAAGTTCCGTGGCAGTGGCTGGAGCAGGCCCCCGGCTGTCCCTGGGGCTGCCTTGCTCTCCCGGCCCTCCGAGTACAGTGAGATGCAATGGGACACGCCGGGGGGCACTGAGGGTCCCTAATTCGGGGCTGGGTGCCAAACGGGCTGCCAAAAAAGAAAAAATAATTAAATTCCGAAGGATGAGGAGGGGAGATGAAGAGTTCTCCCCTTAAGCCGGGTTGGGGGCAGCCCAGCCCACCCCCGGTGCGCAGAGAGGGAGGGAATCGTTTGCGAGGATGGAGATGCAGCGGTTGCAAAGGAAAAGTAAGTACAGGACAAACGAACCCAAATCCGCTGAAAGCAGCACCGGGAAGCCGAGGGAGAAGGGGTCCGTCGGAGCCCGCCGGGACAACCACCCTTCCCTCTCAAGCACCCTTTTTCTCAATGAGGTGCTGCTGTGTGGGAAGGGACGCTGGGCACAAGGGCAGGCGTCAGGCCTGGAGCCACCGGGCTGAGCTACTCATGCAAAGCATGAACCCGGCTATTCCCTGCCAGGCAAGGCAAACGAGGAAGGGTCTCTCTATGTCAGGAAGTCTGTACTGAGGCTGCTGTCCGTCCTGCCCCGTGCTATTAGGGAGCCAAAAGAAAAAAAGCAGGGTGCTTTTAGAGCCCTGTCCTTCCGCGTAGGAAGAGAGGGGAGACACAGGCTGGGGGGACAACAGGGGATCCAAAACGGTTCGCAGGATTTCGCTGTGTCTCAAGCACTTTTATCCTGAGCGAAACGGGCTGTGCTCGAAATGGGGACGTAAGTTGCTCCCATGTCCGCACTCCGCTCCGCAGGAAGGGCTGCAGCCCGTAATCGGCTGCTCCTCAGAGCATCCCATACACCCGCCAGCCGCCCAAACTCGCACCCAGGAACGAGGCTATTCGTCTTTCGTCTTTTCCCCCCCTCTTTTTATTTTTTTTAAATCTTATTTCTGTAATTATAACACCAGCACCCCGGCTGAGTTCTCAATAAAACCTGGATCCTGACGTAAAACGCCACGCTGGAAAACAATGCGAGGGGACACAAGGGAGAGGAGGAAAGTCTCTAATTGGTTAAAATATGTTTAAATCACTTCATAAAACCAAAGCAAAGCAAAGCAAATAATCCACCTAGCAAAGCAAAGAAGCCGGGCGATTTAGAATCAGTGTAATTCGCTCCCCCCCGACCGACTCCCCCCCATCTCCTCGCAGTATTTGATATGATGAATAACCCAATATAGGCCTTTAAAAATAGGTCACTGCATAAAGAGACTCCCAGAGAGCTATAAAAAATGGGAAGAGGGCGCTTTAAGGAGAGGAGCCATTTGCTTCTTTTGTGCTTGTTTGGTACCTAGCGGCCTGGGAGCTGCCAGCCGTCCTCCTCTTGGCCCTCAAGGTGAGGAGGGAAAGTTGGGGCCGGATCCAAGCCCCTGCCTCTCTTCCTGCCCCACCGCCCCTCCAGCCACCGCCCGTCCCGTCCAGCCCCAGCCCGGCCCGCAGCTCGTGTCCCGGCCGGGGTCCCTCCGGGGACCGTGGGGTGTTCACGCCCGCAGTGGGGGCCAAGCTGTTCACCCCGGCTCTGGGCTTTGTCTCCGTCCCTGCGGAACGGCGAGACAGAAGCGGGATGGTGATCCGCGTTGAAATACTAACGAGAGGGTTTGGCCGAGATCCGGGCCGGGCCGGGTTCCCCGAGAGTGGGGGGCACAACAACTCTCGCCACCCCTGCCCCTCTACAGAGCCGCCCGTGGGCTCACAGCAAAAGGACTCGGGGCAGAAACCGGCCCTTCCCAGACTCTTTTCCCCCGCGTTGCTCCCGGCCAGGACCACCCGGTGCCCCCGGAGCCCAAGAAGCCGCCGACATCCCCGGAGCGCTCCCGGCCCGCAGTCCGCCACGCAGTCCCTCCGTGGGCTCTCCCAACACCGGGGGGCCCTGCTCCCTCCCCGGCCCCCGCAGCACGCTCCGAAACAGGGCGCTGGGAAAGAGGAGCACGACAAATTCGGCGGAAACCTTCGGGTTTTATTGGAAAGGAAAGGTCTGCCTTACCTGGAACCAGGCTCTCCCCTTCTTCCCCTCATAAAAAAAAAAAAAAAAAAAAAAAATTAAAAAATCAAACGGCTCTAGACAGAGCTGGAGAGAGACATTTTGAATAACCTGATAGCAGAAATTAGCAGGAGGGAGAAACAGAAGGAAAACCAAAAAAAAATCTCGGGGGAAAAAAAACCAAAAAAGATACAGCCGGATATTTTTCGGTTTGTTTTGTTTTCGCTTATTATTATTTTTCACTATACTGTATTATCCTGATGCAATAAAGGCTGGTTTGTAATGTAATTTAAAAATATATATGTCCAAACAAATAGCAGGGCCAGAATATGACAAGTGCATTCAGCATTATAATTCAACTGGGCTCCACCTCCATACCGCCTCCTAATTAATGGGTCTCCGAACTTGCAAAAGCCTGCATTGGACAGAGAGAGAGAGAGAGAGAAAGAGAGAGAGAGAGAGGGCGAAAAGTGTCATTGAAGATAATTGATTACCTCCCAATCAACAATAACTTGTTAGCAATAGTCAATTACCCCATCTCTTCTCGCTTCTTTCCCCCTGGTCCGAGGTCTCGGTGCGAGGGCTGCTCTTCCCCTCGACGAAGTCTGCTTTTTTTTTCCTTTTTTTTTTTTTCAATTATTTTTAAAAATAATTTTGGGGTGGGTATTCGTTTGGGGTGGGGGGGGCAGGGAAAGTGCTGTGATTTGGGGTGTTTCTTAAAATAGCAGCTAGAAAGAGAAAGAAAGAGGAGAGACAAGGAGAGAGAGAGAGAGAGAGAGAGAGAGGAAACAGAGAGGAGGGGGGGAACCTCCGACCCAAAACCCTGGGACAAGAGGTACGGCAGGACCACCTCTCGGCGAGGGACCGACGGCAGCTCCGCTCCGCGCCCGCCCGCCGCCCTGCCCGCCCGGCCCGCCGCCCGACGTGGCTCTCCCCGGGAGGACCCGGGGCTCCTCCGCCGGAGTTGGAGGTGGGCTTCAACTTTTGCTCGCTGTCTTCGCCGCCGTCACCCCACGGTCCCGCCGGGGGCTTCTCCCCGCGGCAGCGCATCCCCGTCGCGGGTGGGGAAGGCAGCCCCGTGCAGCCCGGCCCCACCATGACTTCCAAAGAAGAACCCAAGCCCTCCTCGGGGGAAGAACGGCGGCGGAGCCCCCTGGATCACCTCCCACCGCCGGCCAACTCCAACAAGCCCCTCACCCCCTTCAGCATCGAGGATATCCTCAACAAGCCCTCGGTGCGGAGGAGTTACACCCTCTGCGGAACGGCCCACCTCCTCTCCGCCGCCGAGAAGCACACCCCGGCCGGGCTGCCCCTCTCCGGCCGGGCGCTGCTCTCCCAGACCTCGCCCCTCTGCGCCCTGGAAGAGCTGGCCAGCAAGACCTTCAAGGGGCTGGAAGTCAGCGTGCTGCAGGCGGCCGAAGGTAAGCCCCGCTCAGAGTAGGGGGGTCCTCCAAAGTGTGGGTGCCCCGCTCCTCCCCACGGCCTGGTTTTCCTTTTCTCCTCGTCCCCCGCCATCTCCCAGGGTGTCGCATGGGGTGGGATGGGGCTCCCTGGGCGGCCGGGACTCGGCAGCATCCTCCCCCCGTGGCCCTCGGGGTTCGGGAGATGGGGCTCTGCCCCGCTCCCTCCAGATACCGACGGGGCAGGGCTGTGGGGTCCAGGGGCTCGGGTCGGGGTGGACATGGGAAAGCGGGGACAATCTGGCGGCTCGTCGGCAGGCCGGGACGGGATGACCATCTTCGGGCAGCGGCAAACGCCGAAGAAGCGTCGGAAGTCGCGGACGGCCTTCACCAACCATCAGATCTACGAGCTGGAGAAGCGGTTCCTCTACCAAAAATACCTGTCGCCGGCGGACCGGGACCAGATCGCCCAGCAGCTGGGGCTCACCAACGCCCAGGTCATCACCTGGTTCCAGAACCGCCGCGCCAAGCTCAAGAGAGACCTGGAGGAGATGAAGGCCGATGTGGAATCGGCCAAAAAGCTGGGCCCCAACCCCGCCGTGGACATCGTGGCCTTGGCCGAGCTGGAGCCCAGCGCCGAGGGAAGGGGCAAGGCACGGCCCGGGTCCCCGCCGCCGCCCCCCGCCGCCGCCCGGGAGCCCGGCGCCCCGCCGCCGCCCCGCCCCGCCTCGCCCCCCACGGAGCGGCCCCGCAGCCGCCGGGACAGCGAGGAGGAGGAGGAGGAGGAGGAGGAGGACGTGGAGATCGACGTGGATGACTGAGGGGCGGCTGGCGTCCCCCCCCATGTCCCTCCCCCCCCATCCCGACAGCTCCAAACCGGCACCCTCGGCCCCCATCCCGGCCCCGGCAGCGCGGCGGGGCGGCTGCTCCCCTCGGTCGGAGCAATAAGCAATAGACCCCCACCACAGACACACACCCCCGATTAATTTAGGGTAGAGTCGATATCCCTCCGCCTGCCACATCTTCGGAACGGTGCAATTACGGACGGCTTCTGTATAAATATTTAAACGTATATATTGGAATTTTTTTCCTTCCCCCTTCTTTTTGAGGTTTTGATTATTATTTTTTTTAATAGCTATCAGTGATGATTATTTTATCTATAAGGGAGATGCGTAACCTTGGAATAAACCTGGCTTCCAAAAGATGTTTGGGAAAGCAGTTGTTTTCAAAGACTTCCGAAACAAACCACTTTAGAGAAGATATAAGTTAGGCTTAAAACGGCAACAGCAAAAAAATCAGCCGCTTTCCTTTCCTTGCATGTTTCAGATGTGCACGAACTGTTTTTTTTCCTTTTTAAAATATTTTTTCTTTCGCAATCTTGGGAACTTGGGGCTGGGTTATAATGCAAGTTGAAAAATATATACTTTCTTTTTTTCCTAGAGCATAGAGATTTGTCTCCAATGCAATTTCTGCCTCATTTTACCAATTAAAAGCTATTTTTACCATTTTCTGCTATTGTTGTGCTTTTATTAAAAAGCTGCCTTTCGTATTTTTGATATGAAGGTGGTAACAAAAAAAAAGAAAAATAAAAAAATCCTAGAATTATTTTTTACTCTTTTTAGAATTTTTTGCATGCTATGGAAATAAAAAAGGACAAATCCCAAAATCAATACATTTAAATATTACACTATAAATTTAAAAAAAAATGTACAGATTTAAGACCTGGTTTTGTTTGAATTGTACAAATTTTAAAAGGCCTGCTATTTAAGTTCCGATAGGGACAATGTCGCTTTATTTACTGTCTCTTAGAATTGTACAGATAGCTCTTTTTTTCCGATACAATAAAATCTTTACCATTTTAATATACTTTTTAACGTCCTTCATTTGTGACCGAAAATCACCCCGCCGGTCCGAGGCTACGCCAGACTTTTCCCCCACAGGAATCTTCCGTCCCGTTTGCATTTAAAGTTGCTCTGAGAGCAGTACCTGCGAGAAAAATGACAGGAAAGGAGCTCACGAGCGAAACCAGTATTATTATTATTTTTTTTTTCCTAAGTCTAATGCCAGGCAGAGTTTAGCAAAGGAAGAACGCGGAGCATCGATAAGGCCGGAGGTGCGGGCAGCGCTTCCCGGGCGCGGGGGATGCGCGGCGGCGGGAGCGCGGAGGGGCGAGCGGGACCACCGGGACTCCGGGACCCTCCCGCTGTCAGCAGGGCATTTCCAGCCTGAAATTGGAGGGGAAAAAAGAGGGGCAGAGAGGAAAAAAAAATAACGGAAAGAAAAAACAAATTCGAGCGGCAGCAAGGTGTTACCAGCGATTTGGACAAAAGGAGCGGGGTGTGCTGCGGGGGGAGCTGCCCTCAGCTCGGCGGGCCAGGCCTCCCGTTTCTGGGCAAAAGCTGCCAAGGGGACACGGGGATGGAAAATGTTTCGTTTCCTCCCTTTAATTCTTTTTCTTTTTCTTTCCTCCCTCCTTTTTTTTTTTTTTTTTTTTTTTTTTTTTTTTTTTTTTTTTTTTCCATTTATTTTTTCCTTTATTTTTTCCAGCCAAAATTAAAGCCCTGGTGAATGTGTTTTCTCTTGGCAGCGTGACTTGCCTTTGGAGTCGAGCAACGTGTGTTTCTCCCTATTCTTTGCAAAATTTATGTGAGAAAGGCAAATCTGGTGTACAGTGGTGGAGTCGGCAGAGAAGTGTCCAGATAAGACGGGGTTGGTTTGTGGGCTGGATTTTTTTTTTTTGGTCCAGTTTCTCCGAGGCTAAATAAATCTTTCTCCTCTTTGAGAATGGATGGGGTTGTAATTTTTAGCGTAAAGCATGAAAACTGGGGACAAATGAGCCCTCTTCTCTGAAGTGACAAGCGACAATGGAGCATATACAGCCTCCTGCGGTTCGCCATGCTGAAACAAGCGTGCCCCTCCACAGCAGAGAGAAGGCGAGCGCTTGGAGACCATATGGTTTTTGAATTTTCTTCACAATTTCCAGACAATTTGATGGATTAGGTTAACCCTCCCTTCCACTGTTTAACTCCACAACAATGGGAGCAGAGCTGTTCTCCCTTCGTCGGGGCATCTGTGCGCTTCTATTCTTTTTTCTTTCTCTCTTGGTATTTGGAACAAGCCTATGAATTACAATGAAATTCACTTTTCTTTAGTATTATTTGGAAGAGCACTTGTTTTCCGCCACCTCCCGCCCCCACTTCGCTATCCCCTCTTTTTTCTTTTTTCTTTCTTTTTTTTTTTTTTTTTTTTTTTTTTTTTTTTTTTTTTTACCTCCGAATGATAGCTTTGACTTCTGTCCAGATCTCTCGGAAAGCCTTCAATCTTGTCCTTAAGTGTTTTTATGCTAAACAGGGAAATCGTAAATGCTGAGAAACTGTGACATTTATGTGAAGATCTAGTTAAAGGGCTTTATTTGTTTTCTTTATCTGTTTTTTTTTCCCCATTCCCTCTCCTGTTCCCCCTCCTCTTCTGTCCCCTCCCTCCCCCCAGTCTTTTATTCTTTTGTCTTGGAATGGATTTAATGAGGCTGCAAACAGTACAATTCACTATAACCAAGAAATAAAAAAAAAAAAAAAAAAAAAAAAAAAAAAAAAAAAAAAGAAGAAAAAGAAAAGAAAAGTGGCTGGGTGTATGGAAAATAGTCTGGGAGTTAATTTGGGTTTCTGATCTATTGACTTCTGAGCGCAAAGAGAAGAGATGCGGGGCCGCCTTGCACCCGCAGAAGTTTACCACACGTGGCCGGGGCGGGTTAGTAAATAAAGCCTCCTCCTGAAGATTTGTAGCCTGTTAATTTGGCTAGCCCCCCTTTTCCAAATAACTGAGATTTTGGCTGTTTAATCTGCGTTTTGACAAACAAAAGATTTTTTTTTTTTTTAGCTTAAAAATTAAGCTCTGGCTTGTGCCCTTCGTTTGTCATCCAGTTTGAAATGCACTGTTCCCTGGGACCACCTACATGACTACATCTATTGCTGGGGGTTTGCTCTCCTTCGAATTTTAGATACAATACGGGTTTTGGGTTTTATTCTTTTCAGTGGTCTGATGGTTTTTTGATTGTTGTTTTTATTTTTTTCTGGTTTGTATTTTTTTTTTTTTCGGGGAGGTGGGTGGGTGTGGGAACGGGACTGTTGTTTGTTTCTCGGTTGGTTTGGGTTGGTTTTCCCCGCAGCAGCAATAGGGACGCGGGGACAGCGCTGAATCGTGCCCTCTGGACTGACCCAGCCGCAGCCCTTCCCGGCCCACTCGGAGGACTGCTGCCATGGATGCGGCACGGAATCCCTCCTGCCTGCCCCAGATTCCCAGATTTAGGGATCCAAATTAGGGATCTCCGGATCTCCTCACCGACCCAGGGGCCGCCGGCCGCTCCCCTCCGTGTCCAGCGCTGTCCCGGAGAAGGAGGGAGCTGGGCCGAGACCCCCAGCTGGAACTTCTAGACCGGGGACACCTGGGGCAGGTGTCCCCTGTCTGGCCTTCAACCTGCCCCCAGTACTTCCTGCACGGATTCACAAGCGGGGGACAGAGTCCGTCCCGTTTCCCAGCCCCAGCAAACCCGCAGCGTTTCGGAGTTTCTCGCCCCCAGTCCGGTGCTCCGGAGCCCAGTCCGGCTCACCGTTGTTGTCCCTCTGAAAAGGTGGGCGTGGGACAGGGGGAGAGACAGGCCTTTCCCAAGTGATTCCCGACAAGAAAAATAAAGGCGTCAGTCAGCTTAAACACCCCAGGTCCTGGCCCGGAGAGGTGAAAACTAGCAATTAGCAAAAGGGTGCGCAGAACATGGAAGCGCCTTGCGGGAGCGAGCTGGAGGCCCGGAGGTCCCACATCACCCGCCCCGTCGGGGGCTGCGCTGCCCCGTGTGTCCCGCGTCGGGGCGGGTGTGGGCAGCGGGCGCGGGCAGGTGCGGGCAGGGACAGCAGGGCGTGGCGATTCCCGAGGGTCTCGGTCTAGCCCGCACCTCGACCACCGCTGTCCCCTCCCGGTAGAAACCCCGTTTCTCAAACGCAGGAGCCGGACAAGCCCTCCTGCGTGTCCCCCTCCTCCCGCCCATCCTCCCGCCCCTGCCATACCCATCCTTCATCCCCAAACTTGACACTGCGTTAGATTTCGTTTGAAGGTGTGAAGGGAGCGGGAGGGGAGGAGGCTGTGGGGGGTGTTGTCTGCTTGGAAAAGCCACTGTTTAGTGTTTGCAAGGGGGAGTTTAGCATTTTTTTTTTTTCCTGAGGGGGGTGGAAAAGATCCATATTTGATCTTGTTCACTTCACACAGGGCTCCCAGACGGAGAATAAAGCCCCCTTCTGAATTATCCAACAGGGTTGAAGCAGGTTGAGTCAGTGAAATTCAGTTCCTTATTTTATGAGGTGTCAGAGCTGATGTCGAATATGGCAACGATAACTAATACTACAGTCTGAGGGACCAGAACGTGGTAATTAATCCCAAAGACTTAAGTGTATTTTAGTTCAGGAGAAAAAAAATCACTAATTCAATCGTCCGGAAAATTGAAGTTTGATGCATGAGTCTCTGCTGAAAGGAAAGGCTTTTTCTTCCCGATTCTGGGGTTGGGGCAGGAATCGCAGCCTGTCTGCTCCGCTCCCCGGAATGGCCCCTGTGCAGGGCCACTGCCCGCCCACCCCCAGCCCGGGGCACACCGGGGACCGGCAGGCTGAGGGACAGAGGTGACACAGGGCTCTCCTCATTCCCTCCGCTTGTCACATCGTCTTTCCCGCCCGCCCCCAGCAGTAACACCAAACATTCGCGGCCGTATCGCGACCGCTTCCTTGTATCGCGACACGCGGAAAGGCTGTCGGGCAGCGCCGCGAGTCCCAGCAGCTCT